TATTTTCTTCGGAAAAATCTATAAATCTTAATAAAATAGTTGGCAGAGCCACATCAAAAAAAAAAAAAAAAAAAAAATATGCATATAAAAACTCTCTCCCCTATTTTATAAAACCAAAATTTTCATACGAAAAATAAAAAATTTAAAAGTTTGTTTTTAACAAAAAATTAATCAATAAACCCAGTATAAAAAAGATTTCTTTTGTTTTACCCCACCTTCTTCACTACGCGAGTGAGTTATAATGCATAAAGACGCTTCAAAACAACAAAAAATTAGTGATCCAAAGTTCGTTTCATACGTCGCTCCAAAAGTCCTAAAGGAAGCTGTTATTTCTACACCAGCTCCTTCATCTTCTTCAACCTCAACTTCTATTCTCACCAACTTAGATTAAGAAATTGTTCAAGAAGTTTTTGGTACACTACCAGAAAAAACAATGGATTTTGAATTTTTTGACGTATCTAAAATTGCCACTCCCAATAAAATTTCACCAGTTATTTCACCTTCTAACAATAACAATAAAAATAACAACAAAGTTGATGATATCTCTGAAAACTCTTCTTCAGCCAAAGATAGGTCAAAACTTTTGGATCCTGATGAATATCTCAAAGATGATGATATGGAAGAAGACCTAAAAGATTTTACAGTTGTTACCAAAGCTACTCCCTTTGCAATTGCTACTCATATTAATTTTACACCCAAAGAAAAGAACAACAGCAAAATTATTCTCGCTATCAATAATGTTTTTACTCAAAATAATGATTTTCGAGGAGTTTCCATTATTCGTGTTAATTTAACGTGTTCTGTAATTGTCTATTTTGCAATGTCAGACACGGCTACCTTAGCCCTACACGTGACTATTCCTGATCTTAAGATTGACACTTTCTGTGATTTCACTTAATACAAAGCGGATATGCAATTTAACGAAAGAACTATTCATATTACTGATATTCCTTACAAATGAAGCCTGCCAATATCAAACAAGGTTTTGCTAAATATGAAACAATTACTGATTTTAAAATGACAGTAAGAGGTATGTGGCTACATGCCTATATTACTTATGAAAACCCTAAATGTATTAAACTATTTTATCAAGTGTGGAATCGTTTCGTCTAGAATGATTTTGTTCATATCAATACTTGCGATTTATCTCCTAATGAAATTAAATATAGGAATATACACTATATCAAATTAACAAATCTTCCTTTTGGTATCTCTGCAAGAGATCTTCATGACATAATTCTTACTACTAAAGTTAGAGCTAGTTATATTCCTAGATCTAACAACTATAAGCCTTGTTCTTTTGTTATTTTACACTTTGAAAATGAGGAAGCTCTCAATCATGCAACTTAACAAAACTTTGCTTTTGGTAACAACAAACTGATGTGGTATTTCCCTGATGCTAGAAGCTGTTACAAATGTGGCGATCCAGCTCATCTTATAATGAAATGCCCTTTTTACAAAAATTGGTTATACCAAATGATAATGAAGAACCTATTAAACCAAAGACACCTACTCAAAACAATTCAATGCAAAGGCTTTATAACAAATATAAACCTGCTGGCTTTAGAAAATTTGTGGATTCTAATCGATCAAACTGTTCTTCCAAATCCTACTTCAAGGCCATCAAAAATAAGAATACTTCTCTACCTTTACCACTAAAAGATGTCATCAAACCAACTGTGAAGGATTCTGTTCAAAATCTGAATAATGAAATTAATAATAAACTTGATCAGATTCTCTCAATCCTCTCTAATATGAAAAAGGATATGAATGAACTTGACGCTAGAATCGCCAAACTGGAATTTCTTCAGACCTCTTCTTCAATTACATTCACAGTAATTCTTTCGACTATTATTAGTAAAGGAAAAGAACCATTAATAGTTTCACACGTTTCCCAACCTCCACCAAAATCACAAGACACGCCTAATAAAAAATCTCACATTGCTGGATCTTTAAATGATAACTCTTCACCCTCACCAATTTCAACCCCAAAACCTGACCTTATTAATATGGTAAATGAACAAGCTGCTATTATTACTGAACAAAAAAGACAGATGAACAGAATGTTCAAACAAATTGAACAATTCGCAATGAATGCTAGCCAGTCTCAAAATTAGATATACCTATTTTTCACATTCTCTAAATGATTAATATAACAAACAATATTTTGTTACCTAATTTTCCCTCTAATAATACTATCAATAATGAAAACCGTTTTCTACCAACAAATATTAATGCTCTTTTACCTTAAAGTTTACTATCATCACGTGATCAACTCACTCATATAATAGATAACGACTTAGAAAATTCACATAGTGATAATAGAGATTTAATTTTAAATAGAAAAACCTTCACCTTTGCTACTCATAATGTACATTCTCTTCAAGATGATGTTAAAAATAGCAAGATACTAGATATTTTTACCCAAAAGAACATTTACTTTGTTGCATTATCGAAAACTTAGCATCAATTTTTATAATCTTTTAGATGTTCTTCTAATCCTTTTTTTGATATTTTGTGGAACTCTGTCTCTAATAAGTTCTCAGGTGTTAGTTTACTTATTAGCAAATCCTAGTCAAAACATATTGCTAAAAAATTCTTGGATAATGATCATTATATTTATGTTGATCTCTATTTAAAAGAAAATATAAAACTAAGAGTTTTCTCAGTTTATATTCACTTCACTGAATCTAAAGAAAGGAAATTCCTTCAAACAACATTGCTACGACTTATAGACAATAGTCTTCAGTCTAGTTTTCATATTATCATCATGAATGATTTTAATGTGGATTTAATCAAATTACAATGCCTCATTGATTCTGGTAAAATCATTTCTTGGAAGTATGATCTTATACATGGTCTCGTTCTTAGGAACTTCGTGGACTTATATGACATTTGTCATGATATACCCTCTCCCACATTCAAAAGATCAAATACTTCCAGTTGTATTGATATAATCTTTACTTTTCAGAATCTTGTTTCTGATTTCCTTTATTGTAACATTATTCATTCTTACTTGTACAAATCAGATCATGAGATTGTTATTGCCTATTTTTCTAATATTCAACATGAATCTCAATCTCGTTCAAGAATTAATGATACTAAAAGAAAAATTCCTCTTCTCAAATTTATGGACTCTACAAAATGGACAAGTTTTGCTAATTATTCCAATACTTATTATAACAACCAAAATTTTATTCACCTAAAAAATCTCCCATCCAATCATGCAAATATGAATAATCTCTGAATGGAATTGAAAAAAGCTATTCTGAACATTAGTAAATCTAAAATTCCTCACAAATGGATCTCTACGCAAGACTGTGCACTAAAAACCAAAGATCTTTCCCAGTACTACTCATTACTCACTAAGATCGAAAAGATTCTTTTAAAATTTCGATCTAAAAGGCTAAAAGAAAGACTTTGGCTTATTGGTGAAGAATGGAAATATGATCTAAATACTGTTGCAAATATTGTTAAAGATATTACATATCTCTTTGATCCTTTCCTCAATTTTTAATTTTATCAAATGTTAGAGATGTTAAAAATTCTCTCAACTGCTTCTATAAAGTCTTGTACAAGCTTACTAAATTAGTTGCTAAGAAAAACACTGATGTACAAATAAAATCACTTATTGGAAAAAGATGCAATCAGCTCGAATCCCAGCCTGGCAAGATAATAGATTTTATTCTACAAAGAAAAAAGAGAAAAATTACTTTAGATCGAGTTTTTATTAATCGCAATGATAGTTCTAAATATTTTACTTTAGATCCCGATGAAATCAAAAAAGTTGCAATTAATCACTTCCAAAATAATGCATTATCTTCGACGCCTCCAAGATCTCTGGATGAAAAATGGATTTCACAATATCAACCAAAGAATTATGTTTTTGAGAATATTTATAATAATCTTATACAACACCTAACATATAATGAATGATGTTCAGTTCTTTCACACTTGGCTAAAGATAAAGCTGCTAGACATTTGGGTATCCCTATAAATAATCAGTATAGGGAAAGTATACGGAAATAATAAGTTTAAAAAACGTATAAAAAACGTAGAAAAACAGTATAATAAATTCGTAAATATTTCCGTATACAAGATACTGAAAA